GTCAAGCTTCTGAGTACCTTCTCAACGATGGTCTGGTCTGTGATCTTTTCTCCGCAAGATCGCATTTGGCTAACTATTGTCATTGCCCTCGACAAAAAATCAGCCACTGATTCTCCATTCTTCATGATCATCGTTTCAAAGTCACGTCGAAGTGATTGCAATCTCACAACGATGACTTTCGAGTCTCCTTTGAATTCTTTCTCCAAGGTTGACCATGCTTGCTTTGAGTTGGTTGCCGTTGCAATTCGGGAGAAGACGTTGTCGTGGACTGCTTGCTGGATGATCGCCAACGCCTTCGAATCTTTCTTCTTGTTCTCCCGCAATTTGTTCGCCTCATCGGGATCTGCGTATCCCAGTTCTACAAAGTCCCACAGATCCTGAGACTTTAGTAGAGTCTTCATCCGAATACTCTAGTATTCGTAGCCTTCTCCCTTAAAGATTGGTATGAGAGGCTGTGAAGCACCCATCGAACTCCCGTTGCTGGCCATCGGAAAGGAACCAACTAGGCTCCGATACCACTAATGTTGGAACTGGAATGCAGAGAACAAAAAAAACAAAGACTTCAAAGTAGATATAGAACTGAGAAGAAGAACTAATTTTTATTCACTGATCTGTAGAGCTATTTATAGAGCTCTTAAACATAAAAACAAACGGAGATAAACTTCAACAAATTAGAGATCCTAAAAATCCTCTCCACTAACCATGACTTATTCCACTAATAGTAATACCAAAAGAATAGGAATAATGAAAATAACCAATAAGGACTTAGTCTATGATGAGCTGTCAATTATGAATCAATAATCTTTAATCAACAGAATCCGCCCTCTATGATTGCGCCTCCAACCTCACAAAAGCCGCGTACTACATACAAGACTCGGATATCGTGGACAAGCTCGAGCGCGCCGAAGACCCGTCGGGGCCGAAGGACGCCGCCCAGGTGGTGATGGGCGCCGTCGTGGCTGACTACCCCAATTGCACGGACGGCTTGAAGCGCGCGGCGAATAAAGAATTCGTGTCCCAAGTCAGTAATAAGATTGCAAATGGTAAGAACTTGTCCATCACTGCGTTCAATGCGACCTTCAGCTTACCCTAATTAAACACTCCAAGTTCTACTCCATCATTATTGCACTTTAGCCTATCTCAGGCATGTTGTGAAATAAAAGTTTTTTTTTTTTTTTGTTATTCTGCAATTTGTTTCCATACTGTAATAATATCAAAGTGTAATGATCGGAAAATTGTCTTAGTAATTAGTCGTTATTTTTATAAAAATAAATACTCTCTCCGTCCAAATAAGATAGGGATATATTGATTTGATGTGATGAGTAAAAGTAGGATGTGCGTGATGTCTAGATTATTAGAAAAAAAAATTATGATGTGATAGGTAGAGTATGAAAAAGTAAGGGGTAAAACTCTAATCTCTCTTTTCTCTCGGTTCGGCGATTCCCTCCTCATCTCAACCCTTATTCTGCTCTCAACCCAATTTCTAGAGCTTGAAGAACGCTCGGAGTTCTTCCCTATGCGATATGAGTTTGTATCTCTCATTGAGAGGAATACCTACAATCCATAAAAAAACCAAAAAACAAATCCCGCCTGCATGCGGTTGAATCGCTTATCAATCACTGACGGATTCAAAAAACAATCAGAACATATCACTAAATATCATACTCTACCATCTATAAGAGCACTGGTAATGGTCTTGAAGCCCCGGGGCTTCAAACCTTTTCTCTCTGCCACATCAGCTTTAACTTACACCAAAATTTTACGGGAAATGGGTTTGAGGCTCCGAGGCTTCAAAACTCTATTTTTTATATTTTTAAATATACATCTTCTAAAATTAAATTAATAAAATTTTATTAATTAATTGAATTTAAATGAAGATAAATCATTAAATAAAAAATCAATGAAAAGTAAATTAACAAAATAAGATTTGAGTAATAACAACAAAAATATACAAAAATTATATTACTTTATGAAGAAATTACTGATTATTCGAGTGACTAAAAATATCTTCATTCAAATTCGGGTTGTAATGACATATTGCAAACCGAAATAATTCATTAAATAAAAAATACAGTGAATAAAAAAGTACGTTAAATTTAAAAAGCAACAAAAAAAATTACATTACTAAAAAAAATTTAAACAAAAAAAATACTACATTAAACAACAAAATATAGAGTAAAAAAGTTGTGTTTGTGTATGTTTTATTTTTTTAAAAAAGAGAAAGAATATAAAGAGTAAAAAAGTTTTTTAGTCTTGTGGCATTAATATAATTTTTTTGTTGTTTTTTAATGGAGGGACCCACACTATTTCTCTTCTCTCTCTGTTAAACTTTTGACGCATAAGGGATGAAGCCCCAAGAGGGGCGGGGTTTAATGCCCCTTTGGCGTTAAAAGCAGCAAAAACACCCCAAGCATTAAGACCATGCCATTTCCAGTGACCTAACATGCTGCCTATCATTGACCGCCTCTGTGACACCTCTATCTTCATCGTCATTAAATTCGTTGATCTATTTTATTCGTCTAATAATTGATGTGAGTTTGTGGGTTTGTTCTAGTGTAGAAATCATATACTCCGTATAATCAATTGTAGATTCGTTTATGTGATTTATTTGATTGTGAATGTTTAATGAAGATTTAATTGGAAATTGATTTGATTAATGAAGAAGAGCTCATGTACGATTCCTTACTCAAATTATTGAGGTTCGCCAGTAGACGGTAGAGACCTACAGTCCAGCGGTCGACCGTTACCGCCACATAATAGTTCCGAGTTCCGACAATAAATAGAAGCCCAAACGATACCGAGGTACCGTTAAGTGACCGTTACACATCCCTCCATAAAGATGCACTGCTTGAAAGGAAAATTAAGCAAGAGATAATACTATGTTAAAGCTATAATTTGAACATTTGAAACCAAAATTATTACTGAAGCACAAAACATCAGAGACAAAAAAAAAAAAAAAAAAAGCCCAAGGGGCTGATCGAAACACTGCAAATGCAAATAGTAGAGGAAGCACACCTAGATATGGGGTAAACCAAAACATTCAAGAATGGCTAATTTATACAGTAAAGCACAAGGAAACACAACAAAGAGGGCTAACCTTAAGTTTGAAGGTAGAGATGGCCGGGGGTGTCGATTGCTAGGGATGGAGAACGTGAGTGGAAAACCACTTTTACCCCTTACTTTTTCATACCCTACCTATCACATCATACCTTTTTTCTAATAATCTACCCATCACATCCTACTTTACCCATCATATCAAGGGTATTTTTGAAAAGTATATACAAAAATATTCGTCCCTTAATTTCCCAAAAAGTCAAACCGTCCCATTTTTTTGGGACGGAGGGAGTAGATTATTAATATATAATTTTTATAATTTTTTAATATACAAATTACAAGATAAAATAGATTAAAGAAGTGCATTGGATGTTGTGCAAAAATGAAAGTAGACAAACACTCAGGGACGGAGGGAATACTTCGTAATTTAGATCATGTTCTCTTCGTTTTATCTAATTGGATCTGATTTAATTTTATTAACGTTTTGTCATATTCTAGTTATATTTAAATATATTTCGTATGAGTTTAATTATTCTAGTCTAATCTAGTTTGGTCTGATCTCATTTTAATTAGAATAATACCCCCAATAGAACAAGCTCTTGTCATGATCACCTTTGTCACAAACTACATAAATTAAACTTGTCATTTGTGTATTTATATTTAGATTTTTTAATGAATAAAAATATATTATTCTCTTGGTAATTAAGGTATGCAAAAAGTAAATTTGTTTAGTTTGTGACCAATTTTTATTAAGGTATATAAATTTGTTATATATATATATATATATATATATATATATATATATATATATATATATATATATATATATATATATATATAGTTACGAGTATATATTTTTAAATAAAAATATTAAAATCTTAATATTTTAAGTTATCTAGTCTTGGGCAAACCGGCCCTGAGCAAGGTGTTTGTGAATTGTGACTCTATGATAACTCTTTACATTTTTTTCAAATTAAAGCCTATTTAGCGCCATATGTCCACACATAAATCCCGCAATATATTGGTCGAGCGAGAAGGAAAAGCGAATCCACCCATCAAAAAAAGCGATTAGCAAAGAAGGCACACATTAATATTTCTCCGATCCGAGTTAATTAATTCCTTAATTTCCAAGAGTGATTCGGGGGTTAATGAAGATTACGATATTGAGTTTGAGTTTTTTCCAATTCAAAAGTGTTTAGTATTACTATTACTATTACTATTATTATTATTATTATTATTATTATATTATTATTATTATTATTATTATTATTATTTTATTATTATTATTGTTATTTTATTATTATTATTAGTAGTAGTAGTACTATTATTATTATTATATTTGTTGTTGTTGTTGTTGTTGTTATTATTATTATTATTATTATTATTACCATTACTACTTTCTCCGTCTCCGAGTATATGTCCACTTTTGATTTTTTTGCTCAAAATTGGTAAACTGTAACTTCAAATTAAATTAAAAAAATGATATTAGATATTGAAATAAAAATAATTTTATTAGATTTATTATATAAAATATTTTTAAAATATTGTTTTATCTAATTAATGTACAATATATATTCTATTTAATTATAAATAAAAAATCAAAAAAAATCACTAAAGAAAATTAAAATGGGATATATACTTAGGAACATAGTTAGTATTATTGCTGTTAACGGGATATATGGCTTTGCAAAAACATTTTTTTTCGATTTTTCTAAAGTAAAGCTTATTTAGCGCCATATGTCCTCAAATTAGTCCCAAAATGAGTTGGTCGGGGGAGAAAGACAAATTGTAAATACATTGGCCCATCAAAAAGCAAAGAAGGCCCATTTTTCTCCGATCCGAGTTAATTAATTCCTTTCCAAGAGTGATTTAGGGGGTGTTAATGAAGATAATAACGTAATTGAGTTTGGATTAGGAGCATTTGAACACGGTATTGCATGTTTACTTTTTTATTTGGACTTTGTTTAAGAAAAACAAGTTCAATTAGTATTATTAGTTTTTAAAGTTAGTGTTAAAGTATCTCGAATGTTGAAGAAAAAAGTAATTGATTTATAAATTCTTATATTGAATTAAGTAATCAATTAGATTTAATTTTATAATATGGCTCAACGTAAGTGACTTATTATGCACCTGTCTAGTAACTTTTTTTTCATCCTAAATTTTAGCCGGTATAGATTAATTGTGAAAACTGAAAATTAAAGTAATGTTAATTTTGTTCAAAATATTAAAACTAGACGTTGAACTATTGTCATTTCATAACTTTAATATGATATCCGATCCCTTATGTAAAAACAATGGTATGATTGAGAGATACTAAAATGTAAATCTTCTTCAAATATATTGACAACAAACGCAAATCGTTTAGTTATTATGGAGTAGTGCTGCATTTAATGACTCAAATAGTTAAAAAGCATTTATTTTAGAAATTGATAAACAAAACAAGGTACAATTTCCAATTGTTATAACACCATTTAATGTGTACAAGTCTTTATTTTTTGTGTGTATCTGTATAATGCTTAGGGTGAAAATTGTGTCACCAACATAGTGTCCTCCTAGCATTTTTGTTGTTTTTATACGAAATCCATCATTGAACTTAAATATAAACTCCAAAACACATTGAATATCCTTCTAAAATTTTAAAACTTCGATATACGTAGAATATCATTCTAGAATTTTAAAACATTATGAATAAACTTCGACACTGAATCGTAGAAATGAAAATATCAATATGATATTTAAGTTTAAATGAGTGTTTTGCATCATTTACCAAAGAACTCTTCAAAAATTAAACAGATTCCTCAAGAATTTTAAAAAGTGCACCAGTAGTCCTTGAAATTTTTAAAACAATGCATTAATGGTTCCTATGTGCCAAACTTAGGAGTACGTTAATATCACGCTCGTCATTGTAAGTGTAGATTCATTTAAACTCATATTTCAAACGTGACTTCTGCAATATGTTTTCTCAAACATTATTTTCTACTCATATTTTAAACCTCTTGAAACCCAAGTGAAACCTAAACACATCATTTTATTCAAAATATGACCAGACCTATTTATTCTAACGTCTAACGTTTGACAATGAAAAATTCTAAAATGACAGAAAAATGACAACCATCCAAAATGACTACAAATGGATTTTAAAAATGTCCTCTCTTAATAAAAGAATGTCTTATTTCATAATTCAAGTAAGAATAAGTTATTATTAAAAAACAATTTGAATAGCTATTGAATAATCAGATATTTTTCATCAATACTTAGCTTATTGCATGCGTGTTAATGGCGATATTCGTAGAGTCATTTATATAAATAGCCATTATCCAATATTTGACGATACATATGACAGATTATATAAAAAATATGTGCTATAAAGTGAATAAAATATACTCCCTCCGTTCTCAAAAACACTTCCTCTTTCATTTTTTTTCCACTTCAAACAAAACACTTCCCCTTTCTATTAAAAAACCACTTTTACCCTTACTTTTTCATATCCTACCTATCACATCATACTTTTTCTCTAATAATCAATCCATCACATCTTACTTTTACCCATCACATCAGGGGCAAAATTGGAAATCAACTATAATTTAACATTTCCTAATTTTTGTCCCCAAATCAAATGGGAAGGGTTTTTTCATGGCAAATTTTTCTAAAGTTAAAAAGTGATCAAACCACAAAAGCTCCACATGCATGGTGAGCTCCGGCAGGGTATTATAGTAAATTCATGGACGAGCCGTGATTTCCTATTTAACCGGCCAATCCCTCGCACAAAGAACAACAACAAAAAAAACATTACTTCTTACTCCTTATAATTTAGATCATAATATATACTCGAATTCAGTTCTCTCTCGCTCTTCTCAACATGAAGAACAACTCTCCCGCCGCCGCAGCATTCCCCCTCGTTATAATCATCGCCACCGTTGTGATGGCGACACTTGCCGCGGAAGCCGCCGGCGCCGGCGCCGGAGACAAGGAGCGGGCTGATGCTTTGAAAGCAATCAATGACGCACTATCCGCAACCAAATCCGCACTGAATGCCATCGCCCCCCTGAAAGGCAGCGCAAAGGCCCTGGCTGATTGCGCCGACACCCTCGGCGACGCCGTAAAGCGCATGTCCGACTCGAGCAGGAAGCTGCGCGTGAAGAGCGACGCCCATACGTGGATGAGCGCCGCCGTGACGGACTTCACCACTTGTAATGACGGTTTAAAGGGCGTGAAGGTTAGTAGCGCCGTTTCCGGATTTATCGCAACGGCTTCCAGTAAGACCAGCTATGCGCTCGCTATGGTCGCTAAGTTACCCTAATTAACGGAGTGTAATGACAACAATAATAAAGCCAAAGACTGCTTGCATGCTCGTTTATGGGGCATTTTATGGGTTGTTTTGGCCTAAGTTTATTTATTTGTAATGGTGGGCGTGATTATAAGCCCCTTTTCTTGGTTTTTGTAGTTGTTCTTCCCGTAAAAAGAGAGTCGAACCTCATGAAGTCGGTGATCTCGCTTGAAATAAACTAGTCCTTTCGTTCGGAAATGTTTTTCACATTTGATTTTTCACGAGTTTCAATGTTGCACTTTGATCATTAATACCTATATTTATATATAGATATATTTTATAAAAATTTGATGTTTCAAAACTATGTTGCTGATAGATATATATTGATATTAAATTTAAATCATAATATATACGTAGTACGATATATTTTTTCCATAAAACGAAGTCAAAGCTTACAAACTTTGACCAAAAAAAATTAAATGTGAAGAACATTTCAGCCGATGGTAGCCCTCCTCTCTACCGGTTTTTCACCTCATTAAATTCGTGTGTGCCATTTCTTGATTTGCTTGGAATTGGTAGGAAACAATGGGGGAATGGGTGTAAAAGTGTATAACGTGAAGTGATTAAAAAATATGTGTGATGGTAAGTGTAAAAGGAAGTGATGATGACTGGTGAGCGTATAATTTAATTTGATTGGTTAAAAATTATAGTGTTCAAAAAGATAAAGCAAAACCCCCATTCACCTGGTGATGGCCGTCGCGCTCAGTCACCCCGGCCACGAAGTCACGCCCCCATACCCAAAAGTGAATGCAATACCCTTATCGGCGTTACCCAAATACATGGATTAGTAGACTAGGTACGTTGTCACTAGATTAGAATCCAAATACAATAATTTTCAAACCAATTTAAGACATTTAATTCAAAAACAATACTTATAAATTCATCGGAGTTAACAAAACGTTGCGGAAGCTTAAATACTTAACTAATTCAAACACAACATTGAGTTCTAACCCGAAAACATAATAAATTAAGAGTAACTTGAGGAACCAACTCAACCAAAAGCTCAAGTTTGTGGTTTTGACCCATAAAATGTTTTTATATTCAAACACCTCCCCACTTGCAGGCGTAGTCTTTTTTTGAACTGAAAGTAAAAAAAACTTGGTGAAATCTTAATTTTTTAAAAACTTATTGGAACTGAAGTTCGAACTCGTGGCTCTTTTAGACAACAAGATTCGGATACAATGTTGAGAAATCAATTCTATCAAAAGTTCAAACTTGTGGTTGCGACCTAAAAATTTCTTTTATATTCTTACAATTTATTATTAAAAGTGGACCTATAATTTAAAATGGTTCAACTGTATGAAGAAGAAAGCTAAGAGTTCCTAAGTCCTCAGTCCTCACACTAATTTATAATTAAAAATTAAAGAAAATGCACTTTATATAATGAAGAACGTAATACATATTCAATGTAATTAAACGGTACCACACAATTTGTAATTTCCTTTAACACAACTCGTATATATAGTAATTTCGTAATTATTTTGATCATCTCATATATCATGAAAAGGGAAATACAAATTAAAAAAAATAAAATTAGAGAAGCAATTTAATGTCGTTGGCTATGCATTGAGAATCAAAAGAAATTCCATACAATCCTCTCCGGGCCAGCCCCGCGCAGTACAGCCCATTCTTGCCCTTCCAATGCATTGGATATTCTCTCTTCGGAAGCCCATCCTCATTCAACATATGCTCACCACCCTCCACAAACCAAAACCAAACCCACGCATATATTTAATAATAATAATAATAATAATAATAATAATAATAATAATAATAACTTAATGATACAAATTAATATATAATGGGAATAATACCGTTAGAGAGTATTTTAAAAATATTTATGTTAATTATCGAGGGCCTGTTTGATGAGCGTAGAAGATATGGTTTTTATATCTCCAGATATCAGATTTTTTTTTGTGTGTATGGTGAGACATAAAATGAATTCGACTTCAATATCTTCAGATATAACAAATAAAAGGTATGGTTTTGCATTGATATCTCACAAATTTGGGAGATATCAATGTGGAGATTTGATATCTCCCACAACCGTCGATCATCTCTACCATTGATATCTCCCACAACCGTCGATCATCTCTACCACTGGCTACCACTGCCACTGCCAACCACCATTATTAATTACCAGTGATCCCCGTCAATAACTAATTAAATCATAATTTTAAACTTTTCCAGACAACTTCATTTCAGATTCCAAAATCCTTATCCTCATTTCTCCTAAATTTCAAAATTTATATCATATCAAATCATAGAGGCTTATGCTAGCTATTTGTACACTAAACTTCAAAATTTATATCATATCAAAATTTATATCATATCATACCATTTCATATCATTTCTCCTAAATTTCAAAATTTACTGCAATGTGACATGAATAATGAGAGAATAGAGGCTTATGCTAGCTATTTGTACACTAATGTGTTAATGGCGTACACAAATTATTATTATTATTATTATCTATACATATTTGTAAGGCAGTAGTATACACGTGGTATACACTAATTCACTAAACTACTCCCTCCTCCGTCCCGTTTAAATCTTTTCGGCCTGCTTTACGATGTTTGACCAATTTTATTTTTCAATTCAATTTATTTAATTGTAGATATAAAATTAAAAAAATAAAAATTATAAATTAAAAAGGTCAACAAATTAAAATATTTACCTGAAGCCAAGAGTGAGTGGATCTTTTGAAACCAGTTGCGAAAACAATGGCGTCAAATGGGAGAGAAGTGCCATTCTCAAACGCCACATCGCAGCCGTCCATCTTCACCACACCCGGTAACACCTGTCCAAAAAAAAAAGTCAAACATTCACGCCACGTGCCCTGCATCCTCCCTCATCAACTAACCTTTTTATTTCCTCCCCAAATAAAAACAAAGGTTTTACTTCACCAAATAAGGAGTAATAAATACGGAGTAATTAAATAAACATTGCTCTGTCGTCCCAAAATATATTATTGTATTTTTCCGCAAAACAAGACAGAACATATTTTACGTTATAAAATACTCTCCCCGTTCCTTTAAGCCCTTTCCATTTTGGCTTTGGACAAAAATAAGGAAAGCGTAATTTTGGTTGACTTTCTAATTTTGCTCTTGATGTGATGGGTAAAAGTAAGATGTGATAGTTTGGTTATTAATGAAAAAGTATAATGTGATAGGTAGGGCATGAAAAAGTAGGGGTAAAAGTGGGTTTTTTTAATAGAAAGTGTAGACCTGGCAAAACAGAACCGGAACCAATTACCCGAATCGAAATATCCGAAACCGAAACCGGAATGATCCGAAAAATGAAGATCCGATCTATAACCGAAAACCCGAAATGATCCGAACCGAACCGAAACCGAACTAAATAATTCATATCCGATTTAAATCCAAAACCGATTAGATCCGAAACCGATAATATCCGAACTCGATTAGAACTAAAATCGATAAATTCAGAACTATGTTTACCTTTCAATAAGCATATTATATTTTTAAATTTTTACTTTTATTTTACCATTTGAACTAGTTACATTACTTGCTCATTCCCTCATAAAATGGATTATCTTCTTGAAAAAAAGTACAAATTTTTATGCTTTAAATTTATTATATGTAGAAATTAAAGATAAGTTATACATATAAATGATAACGCACAAACAAATAAAATTTCCGTAATTTTTAAATAGTGANAATATGACTAAAAAGTCAAAAGGGGAAAATTAGAAAATAATATATATCCAAAATATATTTGATCCGAAACCGAAATATATCCGAACCGAACTAGACCCGAAACCAAAATATATCCGACTCAAATTGTATTCGAACCAAAATCTATCCGAACCGATTTATAACCGAACCGTATCTGAACCGACTCGAAACCGAACCGAACCGAAAAATGTATAGAACCGAAATCAAATCCAAACCGAAATTTAACCGATCTGAACCGAACCGAACCGATTATAACATATAATCGAAAGATATCCAAACCGAAAAAATCCAACCCGAAACCGATCCGGTTGATCTGATTGCCACCTCTAAAAAAGTGGAAGTGTTTAGGGAATTAGAAAAAAACGAAACGGAGGGAGTAGTCAATTAAGATGCACAAATAAGGAAAAGTTTTTGTAATTTTTTAGTGAAATATGATAAATTAATTATATAAAATACTCCTTACACTCCTAAAAAACCCTTCCTCTATTGACTTTTACCTCGTGTTTGAATAAGTTTTTAGGAAAGAAAGATAATAAGGGTGAAAAATTTAGGACGGGAAAATAAAATCATTTTCCTTCTCTTGTTTGGATGTTTAGGATGAAAGAAAAATAAATCTATTTTACGGTTTTTACCTCCTAATTTATATAGCACTACAAAATTAAAGTACTATTTAAACTTTCATCCGATTTTAGGAGCATACGGAAAACAAATGGATCGTAGATTTTCCATTCTCCCTTATTTTCATTCACCTTCCCAAACATATTACATCCACTCACCCCGTTTATTTTCCATCTTTTATTTTCTTTTCATCCTTATTTCCCCTCTTCCAAACAAAGGGTTAAAGAATTTAAATGGATGATAATTTGGTGCTGGCTTTCAAAATTAAAATATCCTTGATATGTAAAAGTGGGATGTATTAGCAGGTATACATATTAATTAGTGAATACGTACGATGTGATAGATAAGATAAAAATTAGTAAGGTTAAAAGTGATATTTTAATAAAAATTTGAAAAGTTTTTTTTGAGATTGATGAAAAGCGAAAGATGAAAAGTTTAAGGGATGACGAGAGTAATATTTTGAAAATGTTTTATACTCCGTATTATATTTTTCTACCCATACATTAAAAATATTTTACTCTACTATATACTCCGTATGAGTTTTCTCTCAGTCATACGGAGTATTTTTCTAGATCTGTCACTGTTTACATATTCAATTTTTATTTGTTACTCTTTATTTGTTTTTTTTACTTATTTTTATTACTCGTCTAATAAAACAAAATAGCCATGACGTACTACAGTCATCCCCAAGTGGATCCATCTCTGCTAGGCCCACACGAAATAGACATGAGACTTGCAATTGTTCAAAGTTTAATTTCCTTTAATAAGTTGCAACTTGCAAATTAAATGTCTTCTTCACAAAATATTAGAAAGACTTCTCATTAATTTGTTGTGTAGGACCCCCCAAAAAGACTAATCAAAAAAGAAAGACTATATGGGCATGTAGTATCAGTATTTTGAAAAAGTTATCTACGAACAACGTTAGCGTTTTTAAAGTTAATCTGTACGGTTAAAATTAAATCCAAAACACTAAAAAAGTAATCGAAAAACGATATTCCCAAACGGAAGCTTTATATACATATTACATATACCTGAATCTCGCCGGAGACGACCTTGGCATGGGTTCCGACGTCGAAGACGGGGTACTTTCCGTTCTTCACCTTGCCGGAAAACGGGCCGTCTTTCGGCAATTTGACCCCGTAGTATTTGGTGATATCCCCGAAGACGAGTTTGCTAAGCACCAGTAGGACTGAGTCGACCAGCCAACACGGCACGTGATACTTCAACATCGTCAAGGCCAAGTGTCCCATCCTTTTACTTATAATGTGAATCTGCATGTTTGTCCCCAAACACAAATAATTTATAATCATATGAATAGGAGTAGTAATGGAGCTTGAATTTTCGTGCAAGTTATGTTATGTTTCAAATTAAATATGATTTTCATCAGTCCAAAATGAAACTAAAGATCGAATTGAACAAAAATATGTATAAACCAAATATCGGACATAAACCTACTTGGTTTTGAATCGAACTGGACCGAAATATTTTGGTTTTGTGATTACTTTTGATCTTTTAATTACGGAGCATGTTTAAGGCTTTTAAATTTGTAACGTGCAAAGGAAAAAATTACTTCTATTTGTAATCATAACATGAATTACAAAGGAAAACTTGGAATAGAGGAAGTAATACTTTTGTTGTTTGGGGCTTTGCAAGTTATTTTGGACGAAGTTGGTCGATCATCCATTATAGTGGAGTATGAAAATGCTTTGCATATAACTTCATAAAAATAGATTTATTATATTTATCGTGCAAAAAGAGACTTTCATTATATTACTTAATTCCATGTATTGATTTGTGTTACAATTAATGAATAAAATTTATTTAATATGGAATAAAATGATCCGTAAAATTTTTAAACTAGACAAAAATTGTTAGATATTAAAAACAAATGGACAAAAATATGATGATGAAATGATTGCCTTGATAAGTACAAGGTCAACCTCATACTCCGTATAACTTTCTTTTAATTTTTTGATGAAAAAGTGGATACAACTTCCTCTCTCTTAAAAATATGAATGACTTGTATTTAAGAAAAATATACTCCAATAATGTTTTGAATTTAACTTTGTTATTTTATGTTAAAGCTAAAATATAATGTGATGAATATATTAATATAGAAAAAATGAATAAATATGATGTGTAGATCATGTAAGTTAATGTCCTTTTAAATATGTAGTGACTAAAAATCAACCAATTTGACTCCTAAAAGTCAAAATCTTTTAGCCTGAGAGTCATGAAGTATATGTGGTTACCGGGCTCCGGACAACAATGGAGGTCTTGGCACCGTAGTTGGAAAGATCAAAAGCAATTTCCATGCCGGAATTCCCACTTCCGACCACCAACACTCTCTTGTCCCGATACTTCTCACCGTTCTTGTACGCCGTCGAGTGGATGATTTCCCCGGCGAACCTCTCCATCCCCTTTACCTTGGGGATGGAGGGGAGGCTGGTTTCGCCGGTGGCCACCACAAGAAACCTGCCGGAATATTCCTCCCCCTCGCCGGAGTCCGGGTCTCTCGCCGTCACATTCCACATCCCGGCACCCTCATCGTACGCGGCAGCCTCCACCGCCCTGCGACAGCGAGGGCTGATGCCGAAACGGGAGACGTACTCGTCCAAGTAGTCGACGAACTGTTTCCTCGGAACGTAGACCGGAGCACTCGCCGGAAACCGGAGGTGCGGCAGCTCGCAGAAGTGTTTGTGGAGGTGGAGGTGGAGGCGGTCGTAGGAGTATTTCTTCCAGATGGAAGCGTAGCAGTCTTCTTTTTCCAGAATAATGTAAGGGATGGAGAGTTCAGTTAGGCAGGCGGCCGTCGCCAGCCCCGCCGGACCGGCGCCGACAACGATCACCGCCGTTTCTTCTTTCTTTGACGTCATTTCAATATCTATTTCTCCTTTAATTTTAACTCGGTGATTTTTAAATGAGTTGAGACAGATCCGGTTGGGGTGGTCCTATATATAGCCGCGTGTTCCTCTCCTCGAGGTGGCAAAATACCTCTAGTATACTTCCTTTAAATTGGTTAAATTATTCCAGTTTTTTCTATAGTTTGAAAAATAGACATTAATATTCTCGTGGTCAATAATTATTTTTAAGATCTTATGGTTTCAAAATGTTACACACGCATTTCTCCAACTATGTTATCAGTTCACTTTTCTGACGAAAAGACACTAGCTAGCGGTGCACATGCGTGTGAGACGTCGTCTTCGCATTTAATGTTTCATACGAATATCGCTGAACGTAAGTAAGTCTTCAGCGATATTAATTGAAAACATAAAATTATTATTCCGACGAGACATTAGTGCAGGTAGGTACAACATAAAATTGTTATCTAAATTATTATTCCGTAATATTAATTGAAAACGTCTTCATGAGACAAGACATTAGTGACAATATTAAAATGTTGACAAATTTTTTGGTAGACTTAAGGTCTACCATGAATTTAAATGTTAATATATGAGTACAATAAGTATTTTCTTACTGCTTAAATAAGCATCCATTTTTTAATTAAAAAATAAAAAAATAGATTTTTTATGTGAGAAGATTTACAAAATTATATGCACCCAATGTGCACCAAAGAAGCACTCTAAGATGTTGTCTACAATTTTATTTTAACTTTTTCATCGACAAGCTTAAAAACACCTGCATGCTCTTTAATTAAATGGCCATATGCAGATTTGGGTGGTTAAAGCGGACATCACTACTCACTAGGAGCCTATACTTGAAGAAACCACATGGCAAGGTAATTAGGGGTGGGCAATCGGGTCTAGGAACCGCGAGTCAGAATCGAACCGCCAGGTTCGGTCCGAGTTAGGTCCGGGTTGTCTTATCAAAAATTTAAAACGGTCCGGGTCGGTCCGGTCCTTATAGCTTTTAGGGTCGGTCCGGTTTCCCATTTTGAAATTGTATTGGACCCAGAACGGATCGTTTTTTTAAATCCCAATATTATTTTTAATATTATTTTTAGTAAATATACGGATATACCCGCCTAAGCCCTTCAATCTTTCGGTCCTTCCAGGATGTGTGGCCTGCAATTATGTGGACGTGTTTTATATATGTGGATGTGTTTCATTTATGCAATTGTTTTATTTTCATTTATCCCTCTACGTCAGTTTTGTATGTGGACGTGTGGCCTGTAATTATTCACTCCTCAATTCCTCATAATCCACCATCCAATTACCCTTTGAAGGCATTATTCTATAATTTCTATTTGTTTTGGAGAATGTTAGTATCATGATAGGTTAGGACCCGTTGACCCGTGGAATCGGCCCGTTTCAAACAAGCCGGGTTAGATCCGGTTTCAATTTTAAAATTTCGAAAACCCGTTCCGACCTGGACCGTTTTAATAAAAACAAGTCGAGTCCGGTTTATACAAAACTTGGCTCGGACCGGCCCGTGCCCACCCCTAAATGTAATGAGTGCCAAGGATAAGACCCAAATTTGATTTCTGACAACTATAGGTAACAATGCTAAACATAAATGATCAAGTGCTAACTCCACTTTTTACCACCTGTTTGTGATCAAAGTCTAATTTACCACCCATGTGCCATCACCCTTCAGAAATTGCATGATTTATGCCTAAATATTAAAAAGTTCACTAAATACCCCTGAATTCTTCAAAAATTACACGATTTACTCTTGAACATTAAAAAGTGCACCAAATACCTCTGAACTCATCGGAAATTACACCGGTTTACTTCTAAACATTTAAATAAAGACAATAATTTTGAAGAAGTATAATTAGGAAAATTCACAAGGGCCTTATGAATCATAGTCGCAATTCCCGTGCGCAGGAGTAACACACTCCCTATTTAGAATTTAAGGACTAACAGTGCAAAGTTTTAAATTGTTCAAGGGTATTTGGTGCACCTTTTAATGTCAAGAAGTAAATTGTGCAGTTTTTAAAGATTTCGAGGGTAGACATTGCACTTTTTAATGTTTACGGTTAAACCATGCAAATTCTTAAAGAGTTCGGAGGTAAATGTTGTACTTTTCTCCACAAAAAAAATGTAGGCCTTAAATTGTGAAATAGGTAGAGTTTGGTACAAACTCAACATTTAATTTTAGCATTTTAAAAGTTCAATTATTTAATGATAGTATTTAATTTTAGTGTTCTCCAAATTAATTTACAACCTAAAAAAATTATATCAAAAGTGTTAATGTTAATTGACAATATCATTCTCAAACAAGACGCAAGGGTGGCTCGAAGGGTGTGCAAAATGACCAACCGCACAAGACTCCTAAAATTTTAGAATCCCATATTTTATTAAATTCATTATTAATTTTGAAACATAAATATTCTTAAATAATAAAATAGGCACAAAATGTATATTTTGGACCGGATCAATTTCATTATTCGAGGCCTGACAAAGCATTAGTGACCATCAAATGATAATTGTTGACACTTACCCTCGGTAAGTTTTGCTCGCCCTTTTAAAAATAATGCTACACTTCCTTTTTTATTTATCACAAGAATTTTTGTTTATTTGTACGTTTTCATTGATTATTTCATAAAATAAAATATTTTAGACATCTTTTATTTTGAAGAATTTTCTATTTAATTTTTAAATATATAAATTTTATTTTTTACCAAATTTGTTTTACGAAATGTAACAGGCTTTTTTTGATGTATGGAGTATAAAAAGAAGTGATTGTGAAAGGTGATAACACTGAGGACACTTTTTCATTGAAAAAGTTGACAGTTGTGGTGTGGAGAGACTCCAGTAGTTATTTTAGACGGTAAAATCACTCGACATTCGACAATCGTCATTTAGAAGTGTCTAGATTTACATTTATGTCTCATTTTCTAACCTCTATTTCTAGTGCAAACAAGTCACTTATAATTAAATAAAATATATTTCCTCTGTTTCCAATTTGAATACAAATTGTAGGTTACGGAGTAAAATATCTTACTTTTTGAAATTATTTTATTTAGAAATTGGTATATCAATAAGATATAAAAATTATATATTAAAAACTACATCAAAATTTTTACAAAATAAGAGATGACAAGAACATTTTATTTTATCAAATACTTAATGAAATCGCGTAAAAAAATAAAAATTATCGAAAGAAGAGAAAAAAATTGTAATCTATTTAGGGACGGAGGGAGTATTACATTTTAATTAAATAAAATAATATTTAAAACTTTTTTATATAATAAATCAAATAGAACCTTTTTGCATCAATATCTAACATCATTTTTATTTATTTTAGAATTAAAATTTACCAATTTCGACCAAAAAATCAAATAAGTACAAATACTCTGAAACGGTGGAAGTATAAAATATAGAATACCAATAAAAAAATATGAATTTATTTGTACAGAAATGTACAGTGAAAATATCTTTAAAAAATGAGGATAGAATTAAACTTAAACAGATACTCCTTAAGTTTTTTGCTAGTAATGTGTAAATTTAAAAATACAAATTGTAGGATTAATACTCCTTTCGTTCTTAAAAAAATGCCACAGTTTGTTTGACTTTTTTGGTTAAATTGTGAAATCCTTTAACTAGAAAATATAGTATAAAATAAATAAATATTATAAAAATTAGATATTTTAAAATTATATTTTAAAATAAACCCAATTTCACTAAAATTTATATTATAACTAAATTTACTTTGCCACAGTTTGAACAAAAACATCAAAATGTGGTAATCGTTTACGAACAAAGATGATATTAATGTTTAAAAGTACGGGAAAATAAGAATATAATTAATGAGAGGATGTCACGCAAACGTTACAGATGAAAAATAAAAACGAATTGAGTATAATCATTTTAATAAAAAACATGACATTTTAAAATAAACTACTTACCCATATTTATTTCTACTTGTTTCATTTTTTTTCAAATTAATTTCTTTCGAACTCTTTTTAATTTATTTCAATTTCTTTTAGATTATTTCAACTCGTTCTAGTTTATTTCAACTTTTTCAAAAAAAAAAACCCAAACTATTACTCGTAATATTAGTTGAAAATGTGGTACTCAAACAAGGTATTAGTGGACAACCATATGATAGTTGGTGACACTTACCTCGGGTAATTGGAGTCAAAGTAACTATGAAAGGTAAAACAGTGTGGACACTTTTTAATTGAAAACGTCCACAATTGTAGTGCATGTGTAGAGACATGAGACTCTAGATACTGTAAACGGTAAATTTCGAAGTTTTTTTTTCTTCACTTTTTTCTAACCTATTTCCACTTGGAAAATCCTTTTGATTTGTTTCTTCCTCTAACATCTATTTCCAGTGCAAACATTGACATTTTGAATGTCCTTAGCTAAAATAAAATTAAACATATTAAATATGCGAATATACTATATGAATTTATTTATACATACTTTTTTAAATAAAAATAAAATAATACTCCCTCCGTCCCGCTATATTCGTCCACTTTTGACTTTTGGAACTGTTTATCTAAGCACTTTGACTCATCAAATTCTCTCAATGTGTAAGCCTAAATATAGTCATGTGTGATCTTGTTTGATTTGTCTTAACATATAGATTATTAATATATAATTTCTATAATTTTTTAATATACAAATTACAAGATAAAATGGATTAAAAAAGTGCATTGAATGGTGTGTAAAAATGAAAGAGGACAAATACTCTGGGACGGAGGGAGTATAAATAAAATTAAAATATAAAATAGCATTAATTTTTTAAAAAATGAATGTTAAATTATGATTAAATACAAAAGGTAAGAAAAATAGAGTTAAAATTTAGATCACGAAAAATAACGTTAAAGAATAACGATAGAATTAAAAATTAAGCAGATAAATTAAATAAATTTAACAAAAATAAAAGATAAAATTAAAGCAAGAAGTGAAAATCGCATCAAAGCGATTTTTTATAACCAAGAGTAAAAATTTGAAAAAAAAAAGTTCCCGGAGAATTTACCTTTTCCCTCGTTATCTTCACGGTGAAAAACAAGGGAAATAATCCAAAGCAAAGCTCATTACAAATTTACCTAAGGTAGTGTTTGGCAACTAGCATTTTATTTCAATTCATGCATTTCAATTCCAGGATTTGAAATCTTGAATTTCAAATGACAAGGGGAGGTGCATGGATTTCAAATTAAGCTTTGCTATAAATGAGGGGAATTTGACTCAAATCCAAATTCAAAATTTTTGAATTTCCCAAACATGGAATTTGAGTCAAATCCGGATTTGAAATCCAAATCCATGTTCCCAAACATGCCATAAAGCAAATTTCCCTTTTTTCACTTTGAAGATTTTTTCACTTGTTGCTTTATCTTATTT